ACAAATGAAAGCGACTTCTCTTGTGACGAGAGTAGTGGAGACGAAGCCAGCATTGATGTTGAAGACAGCACCAGTGAGGAAGACGAGGACGTCAATGAGCTTGATGGGGACCAAACCACAGAAAGGACTGACGTTAGGCAAAGTGATCTGAAATCCAGGTACGCTAACAAGCGTTACACCTGGAGGAAGGCTGCGTTTGACCACCAGCCGACCGTTTACCAGGACGAGTTTCCACTGCCCCCAGCTGAGCCTCCGACAGCCAAGCAGTATTTTGATATGTTCGTCTCTCGGGGCATGATGAAGGAAGTCGTGGAAGAGACCAACAAGTACTACTTGCAGAAAAATGGAACTTCCCTAAATCTGACAGTTGAAGAGTTAGCATCCGTCTTGGGAATGTTTTTCAGAATGGGCCTCGTCGATATGCACCGAGTTCGTGCATACTGGGAAACAGGCAGTCGATATGAACTTGTTGCTCAAGTTATGTCACGCAACAGGTTTGAGAAGATTACAAGTCATCTGCACTTCACCGACAATGATGCAGCAACTGACCAGATGAAAGAGGACAAGTGCTGGAAAGTGCTCCCATGGCTGTCCTCCCTAAGAGACAATATGGTACGTGTCCCACAAGAGAAGAAGTCATCGGTGGACGAGATCCTGATCCCCTTCCGCGGGCGATCTCACATCCGACAGTATCTGCCTAACAAGCCGAAAAGCAAGTGGGGTCTGAAGCTTTGGGCGCGTGCAGGTGAATCAGGCCTTTGCTACGACTTCGATGTCTACCAAGGATGCTCCAGAGGCATGTATGGCTACCAGGAAGGCTACCAGCTGGGATTGGGAGCTGGTGTTGTGCTGCAGCTCTGTACAAGCCTTCCGGATAGAAAGGATAACCTAATTGTGGCAGACAACTATTTCACTGGTCCTCACTTTGTGTCAGAGCTCACCAGCAGAGGAATAGCGTACATTGGTACAGTCCGTGAAAACAGGCTGAAGTCCTGTAAGCTAATGGACGAAGTCAATGAAAAAGAAAGGCCGGGGTGCATGTGACTTTTCTGTGGCATCATGTGAAAACAAATCCATGGTTGCAGTCAAGTGGTATGACAACAGACCAGTTACGCTGCTCTCCAACTGCAGCGCTGTGGAGCCAACCGTGACTGTAAAAAGGTAGGATAAAAAGACAAAAGATCATATCCTTGTTGAATGCCCAGCTGTGATCCTCGACTATAACAAGTCAATGGGCGGAGTTGATCTTCTAGATAAGATGTGTTACAGTTATCGGTTTGCCATAAGGTCCAAGAGATGGTACCTCTACATCTTCTGGCACACTGTGAAGATGGCTGCTGTTAATGCATGGCTGATGCAGAGAAGAATTGATCAGCAACAAGGACAGAAATCCGCTTCGTTGAGAGAGTTCCTGGCTGAGCTAGCAACAAGCTTGGTCCTCTATCTGAAGCGATCAGCTCGGAGGCCGTCTGACGAGAACCTTCCGCCAGCCAAGAAGCAAGCATTCATGGCGATCCCTCGAGATGTGAGAACCGACGGGACACAGCACTGGCCCATATGGAATGAACGGCGCAACCGCTGCAAGGCCTGTACAGGCGGTTACACTTTCATCTCCTGCTCGAAATGTCAAGTGAGCCTGTGCATAAACAAAGACCGCAACTGTTTTGTGCAGTTTCATAACTAATGAGAAAGCTTCCTGTTTGTTTTTGGCTAGTCATGTCATATTTCATTGTGATAATAAAATTGTTGAATACTACAGTATGTCTCGACTACTGTATGAAGTCACTGCCCACTGTTGCAGTTATGCAACATCGTATAAATCCTATGCCGTATAATATTTTTGTATGGCGAGTTACTAGAATTGCTCTTTGGTGTCCTACAAACACCACCACAGAAGAAATCCTCATTCTGATTACATTTTCTAACACTGGGAAATACTGGGTTAACAGCAAGTTTTACAAGACACAAGACTGCACATTGATGTGGCAGTATTGTGCAGCCTAAATATCAACAAAATCACCTTGACAGACTAATATTTCATGTTTTACAAAACTTACTATATAATACTAAAAAAAAAAATTATTTGTCTTTTTGTTTGCACATAAAAGGCATAGTCATTGCCTTTGTCCTGGAAGCTACGTCACCATTTTATCAGTCCTCAAGGCTGTTTGGCTTGAAATAGTTGAACACTAGTCACAAACTTCTAGAGAATAGCTCTTAGTGAGATACATTGTCATTTTGAGTAGGTCATAAAATTATTAAAAAAAATTATGCCTGCATTATCTGTACAACTTTCAGAAGGCTACTACATTGTACCAAACCACCCTGCCATGAGAAAATATTGGGCAAGACAGGAAGTGGAATTGGCCTAGAGTAATTAGTGGTAAAACAACTCCGTCTGTCTGCCTCTTTACAATTTTGGGAAGCAAGAAAGTATTGAACATAATACAATATTATTTGCTTGCCAAAACACTTTGCACTTACTATTTACACTGTCGGCATTCAGCACTTCCATTACAAAAAAAAAAGCATGGTAACATTAACAAACAGATTCCAACAGTTACCCACTACTACAGTCTGCAGCGCCATTAGTCTCAAAGGGCTTTTTTATTGAGGGTCAAGTGTCTCTATAAACTGGTGCCAGGAATTTTCAAAATGTTTTAAACAAAGTACCACAATACCTTGTGTACACTGCTCGATACCACCAGTGTCTGCAACATGACCCGGGCTCTCTGACAGGACATTCGCAATGTTATCCGTACAGTCCTCAGAGAAAAAGTACTGGTAACAGGAATTATCCTGCTTCATAGCTCCCACTTTCGAAACAAGAATGTGTGTAGCCTCAACTGTGAAAACATTAATCAACCTTGCATAGCTCAAGCACAAGAAACACTGCCAATGCTTCACGACACCAACAAACAGCAATGAAAGGAGCAGTCTCACAGCAAAATGTTTGCACCCGAGCTGAGGTAGAAGCGGAGAAGCATGGGAACAAGGAATGAATGGAGGGAGGAAATAGGAAGAGAAGGTGGCAGAGCACTGAGTCAGGGTGTAACAAAATGATGATTTTATGAGCTAGCCTCAATGGAGTTCTCAATTCTTAAGCTTTCATTAAATTAGCATGAATCTGACGACGGCAAGTTCACCCATTACTTTGAGTCTTAATAAAATAAACACAGATGAACGACAGCTGTGACTGGCTACTTGTTAGCGGAGACTACAGTTTCAAAAAGACATGGCCAGTGCTTAAAAAACAAAAATTATACCAACTTCTGGTAGCCACCGTAGGTGCCTGCTCCATTTGAAATTTTTTCCGAATGCTGTCACATAAAATTAATTTGATGTCCTCAGCATTTACTGACCATATACATACTTTTGAATGCTACAGTCACCACCCCCCTGACTTCATGCAAACCACCATGAAATGCGAAAGAATGCATGTGAAGCTGCAGTTAACATGCAGCAAATTAAGTGGCTTGCACAAACCGCCACTTCTTTCTCGTGCAGACAACTTATTTTCTTCAGCGTGCAAGATTATCATGACCAGTGTCACAACCAGAATCGAGCTGGAACTGCTGGGAACGGCCAAGGGAGCTGTGACGGCCAACATTCCTTGGCAGTTTTAAAGTGGCGGGTAACGAGGGTCTACTAAACACTAGCTTTCTAGGCACAGCCATTCAGGAGGCACGACAAACACCGACACGGCCTGCGGATTGTGGGCAACACGGTCAATCTACAATTTCTCTGTGGGCCTAGGAAGAGGTGGTCCCGCAACATCAGAACACGAAAGGTGGTAGTAATTGCTCCAAGCTTAGCTTGACGTAATGTCTCCCATTCAGGGTGGATTGCCTCTTTCTATTGGCTGTTCCGTCTCGCATTTCATGCAGGAATGTTTCTAAATGCATAAACCTAGCTAATGCCCAAAGTGGCTTGTCCCAGAAACCATTACAAAACTATGTAGAAACTTCCATTATAGAAAAGGTGGAAAGAGGGCAACATAGAAATAAATAAAGCAATTAGGAAGCATTTTCCCATGGGCCTGGCACAACGAAGTTATGAGGATCTTGCTTTGCTTGTTTTTGCGTGCCTCATAAGAATTGGTTAAGACACGACACAAAGCATGTCAAAGCTGGTAGGAAGATCTTAAAAGGAAACCTGAACCCTAAAAGCCTTGGAGCAGCAGCCAGTGTCTCGTTAAAAGAGTGTTAGTAACACGGCCACCACTTTAGGGCTGCTATGAAACTCCTTTTTAAGTTCAAAAGTGTCGGTGTTTAAGTTTGAAGGTATGGAGTATGACACTGTTAGTGTGAACATAGCATCGGCACTTTTTCCCATTCTGCTCGGGCCACTGCATCAAATTTTACTAGATAGAGGGTAGTACTTTTAATAAGCAATTTACGTCATACTTAGTTAGTTCTAAGATACATTTTCAATGTAAAAAAACTGAAGAGATACTATCTTTTATGTTCTGCAGAAGCTTGATCAAAACTAATAAAACCTTACTTATGATGAACTAAGGAACTAACAAACCTATTCAGTGATTGTAAACTTCCTGCACATAAAACAAGCCTGGTTCAGTCACTTTACTCAAATTTGCCATACACGGTCCTGCGAGGCTCAAAAACATTGGCAGGTCATAACCTGATCTTTGTGTATTGATATGTTAAAATATTTGTTATATTTGACTTTAAAAGTTCAATGCCGTTTGTTCATAATAGGGCTGTCACTACTAACTACTTTTGTACCAGAGATTTGAAACTGAAACTAGAGGTTTCCTAAGTTTTGAATGTTGCTGACAACGGTCCTGCAACTGTTGTTAGGTTCTTACTTATTTATTTATTTTGTATACTATCAGTAGTATGTCAGGACTATGATCATACACAACAATATCAACATATATTTAACAACTGTGAACACTGCCTAAGCAAACAAGAGAGTAATAAAACATCTTTTTAAATTTTGGAGGTCTCCCCAGCAACAAAAAAAATTATTTTTTTTTCATTTAAGTAACAGGTTTGATTTTTCATTTGCTTTCAATGACCTGGCTACTGACTGTCGTACTTCCAAACAGCAATCAGGTAATTAGAAGAATAAAAAGAAAACACCAAAAACAAAAAAAGAATAAACAAAGATTAAAACAATTATTGTAAAATTTAGCTTCTTCAATAAGTTAATTGGGCAGCAAAAAGACATTAACACTGACTTCGCATTCGTTTCCATTTCCTGCAACAATCAGCCTGTGAAAAATTCACGCTCATTCATTCTACACACATATACAAATTCATGACTGCTAACAGCAAAGAGACTTGTAATTTGTGGTCTCTAGAAATTACGTACAATAATTACTGCACACTTATAGTACTTTCCATTCCAAAGCACTTTCGATGTTGTAGCAGCATTGCACAGTAGAGCCTTAGAAGGTCACAATATGTTTTGGACTGGTGAATAGAGTCACAAAACCTGGAAGTAACTGAACTAATCAAGGCTTAAGAAACAGTTTTAAAGTGACATGAAATAGTAATGCCCATTTGGACTTTATAGTTGAAACTAGTAGTTAGACCTTCTTTGAAAGCCTTTCCAAAAGTATCAGGCCCTTTGACTACATACAGTTGGGTCCTGTCATCAGTTGCACCACATGACAGATGAACACTGCATGACTTAAAGCCAATGAGGCTACACCTTGTAACCAGCATGAGATTCTCCACAATGCAAGTCATCACAAATGCAGTGAAATGCACGATGGTAAACCCTAGTTGTATCAATCGTGCCAAATAGACAAATGACAACTTGAAATAAATAAAACAAAAAAAGAAACACCTGGAGGAACCTGCTGTACAGAGGAACTTTGCGAGGGAAGCTGAACAATGCTGCTTTGAAAACACGCTTCTAAGCAGCGACAAACGTTCACAGAGAAGTCTCACTTCCAGACAGAGGTAGAGCATGACGCAGACTAGAAGCCTCCAGCATTGCGATTCGTTGCTTCAGCATCCGCACCTAAAACCACAGAGAGAGAAAAAACTTGGTCCTTATTTTGGTCTGCGCTTCTTCTAATATTGCGCAATTCTGAGCTAGAGTGTGTGCGTATACTGCGAGTCATTCTACTTTTGCGAGCTTAGAGTTCCATGAACTCAATTCAAGTATTTTCGGAAAATTGCCTCCACCAACATCGGCGGCCAGAAGGGAAGCAACTACAGCAACCAGCAAATCAAACCTCGAAACACCAATTTGTAGCAAAAATCTGTGGTTTGCGAACTCCACAATAAGTTAGGTATGCTAAGCTGTTATCAATTCGTTTACATTAGAAATGAACATAAAGACGTGAGGAATCTCTATGCGCTACAGGCTCAACTTGCGAGTGATAGCATCCAGCTATAGCATCCAATTTTTTGGCTATCTGTAAGTATCAAAGAAAACATTAATGCACTATAGTAAAATTTCATTTCAGGGGACCGCGGGAAGGAACCGCATAGTCCGGGAAAACATAAAAAACCGAGAAGGCCCCCGAGGGCTGGGAGGTCAGCGAGACCGGCGGTTTTGAACATAAAAGTCAGGAAAACGTAAGAACCGGGAATGTATCAAGGTGGTTCTGTTGTACTACTTCATTTAACACTTGAGTCAAATACTTGTGAATCTAACGACGTGTCACTTTATAAACTTGTATTTCGTGAAAGCAAAAATTTTGCGATCGTAAGTGAATTGCTTGTCCCGCTTACCGTATTTACTCGAGTAATAGCCACACTATTTATGAACAAGGCCCTTGCGTCTGGCATTACTGCAGAGCACATATACAGCCAATCATCGCGTTGCGCTAAAATAACATAGTGAATAACTAGATCGAGAACACAATTCTCCATACAAATGCAACCTTCATAGATGGTATCTTCGTGCGAAGGCGTTATCTCTGTCCTGTAAACAGCTGGAATCATGCTGCTGATTGCGGTGATTGGCAAGCCCACATCCTCCGCGGAAAAGCGAATCCTTAGGTTTTCTTCATAAACGGTGCAGCTATTACTCGAGTAAATACGGTATTAACAATACATTTATTTATTTATTCATGTACCCTTAAAGGCCCTCGTGAGAGCATTACATAAATTTTTTTCATTGTTTTTCTTTTGCAAAAATCAGATCACCATAAAATAAGCTAATTTAGAGCAGTTGTATTCGCAAACTTAGAATTTACATCCCTGTTTCCTGCATTTGCCTTCTTGATATTCATGCCCGAGAACTAAAGCAATACGCTTGGTCCGCTGGGCTACGCCCACTCTCTCTTCTTTTAACAGAATGGAAAGTTGGGCAAGTTGGTAAGTGTTTGTAGCAAAAAGGCTCGAGGTACACTTAAGCACTTCTTATGAGTTGTGAATGCAAAAGCATGTACGTCTCTCTTCCGCTCCCTCATTTCGTCTGCAGTGTATTTGCGCCGACGGCAGAGCAGCGCTCTGCCGGGGAGGAATGGACGCCTCTCCTCGCCGCTCTGTGTTTGTAGCGCGCTGACGAACACACAGCGCCATAGAGTGAGTGGTCGTAGAAACTGACGCGCAGCGGCCAATGGGAGCCTGTCGACGCGCGCCAGCCAATAGGACTGAAGCCGAAAATCCATCAGCTTTACTCCGCTCCTTTGGGATTGGGGAATTTAGGTGCTGTTGGCATGCTTTTCGCATGCTTTCATAGCCTGGAGCTGGCTTCACTTGGAGAAAGGGCTTAAAGTGCCGTTTGGCACGGTTTCAAAGCTGATGACGTCGGCACGCTCTATGAGACAGTTAATGCTCTCGCATTAAAAACAGTACAAATAGAGACAAGGATGAAGGTGTTCTACTGTATATGCAAGTACTACAGTGATGGAAGTAACATTTGACCCTTTGTAGCAGCTTCCATAGCATGCAAAACATTGGTTTGGAGCAGTCACTGATCCTTTTGGAGCAGATGCCAACATCTGTTAGCACATCACTTGAAAATGAAAAAGTGACTGCATCGCTAAATGAGCTCATCTTTTGATAACTGAGGGTTCGGCTTTGATACTTTAATACTGGGTCATATTACTTATTACCTTTTGTAATAAGAATAGAGAGGGCACCAAAGGAACATAGAGCATTCTTTTCAGAAATAAGGCTCTAGTCAAGGAAGGTTCCATTTACGATGGGTACTGAAAAATTGATGAAAAATTAATCATAGCACAAAACTTCAGTTGGATAAAGGTTTTCTCCCCTTGCACTTTTACAGCACCTGTATATATAAGTTCTGTAAAATGCATGCAAAAAGCAGCTCGTCTATCAAAAAAAAAATGCGTCCCCCAACTTTTCTGAGCCTACCGAATTCAAGATCTAAATACAATGAACTGCCAAAGAACCACCCCCAGATATTATGAAAACCTACACTTATGCAAGTGACGCTGCTCCTTAGCAGCATTGGGACCAGAGTGAAGTCAAAGTTAGCTGTTCTTTCGATCGACAGCTGCACGGGAACAACCTTGACTACCATTATTCAAATATAAACCCACATTTTTTAAAATTGATAGCTTTACGGGCAACGCTTTGCATAGATTTTGAGCTCGTGGGTTGTTGTCGCTGCGCGCGAGAATAAGAGAAAAATCTTTTTCCTCTCCCCTCTTGGCGCCAGAAGAGGGAAGTCGGGACTTCCCGTCAGCCAGCCATGCTGCGCAAAGAAAGCGAGGAGGGCATCCCTGGCGTCCTGCCAAGAACGGCGCGACAAAGGGAAAATCTTCTTGTCGTCTGCTTGAAAGACGTGTTTTCAAATATTCCCTGCATTATGCGCAATCCCACTTTGGCAGTGTCCGGCTGCTACGTGTAATATTGGATGGTTTCAAAAACTTCCACCGCGCTTACTTTACGGATCACTGAGCACTCGTGGCGGTCGTCAGTGGCACCCACGACGGCTATGAGAATTAACCGCATCGCACCTCCGTCCTGAGGTGTGTGAAAGCACCATTCCACCCACATTGTGGAACCATGCAACCCTTTTTTTTTTTTTGTGTGCAGATTTTTAAAATACGGAATCAGCCTATTACCAAAACAAAAAAAAGTAGACCTGGAATAGTACCAAGCCTAATTACTGAGCCTATTGTGCTAACCCAGGTGCTCAGCCATGTCAGCCGCTGCACCTAGCACTCCGGTGCAAAGCGGTGAAGCTCGACACACGTGCGCTGGTGAGAGGCAGCACAGAGACAGACATGATAATGAAGTGATCTCATCAGGAGCACGAGATTAGGGTTCTGTTTTGTTACAGTAGCTGCCATCCTAAAATTTGGCAATGTTTTCTTGCGACTTTTAGTTCCTCACATCGCCGACATCGTCTGGAAATTTAAACGATGTTGGTGATCAATCTGCCAACACGTCGACCAACCAGCGTGGTTAACGAGCAATCTCAAGACTTTGTTTCAGCTTAATTTAAAGTGCAGCTGCTGCTACAAGCCAATGGGACCAACCAGCGTCAAAGTGCGACATCATGGCGTTCGTCCATCTTCGTCTGCTTGGTCTTTCACCGACTAAACGAATCAAGTGCAGCGAATCTCTGGTGACATGCGCTTTTACAGTGTAGACCGCATATAACGTATGTCGCGAAAATCCGCACTATAAGCGGTACCGCGCTATAACCAAAACATCAATTTTTCAGGCCAAAATACATGCCATGAGATCTCTTACCTTTGTAAAAGAATTTATTTTATGTTAGATGAAATAGAAAGCTTAATTTGAGGAAAGTCGTTATTTCACCAGACTAGTACAGTTCTGTCTCAAGTGTGTCACACATTTTGAAAGAAATGAGCGGCTTTTGCCTGGCGCAGCCTTTTAATGAAGTCGCGGGTTGCGGACGGACGTTGCGAGCGTTCAGGATTGGTAACCCTAATTACTTTTCTCCGGAGATGAAAACGTGTAAAAATTCGCATCCTTCATACGGTACGCGCCAGTAATACCTTGAACTTGAGCACACGCATGAAATGTGCCAAGTAAGAAATCCGGGCGATGTTCGAGGACACAAATGCTTAGAAATCACCACTGTAGTCGAAGTAAACAAACATGACGACACGGGCGTTTCTGCCGTCTTAAGCGCCGCCACGACATCGCCGCACGAGTAGGTGGATCTTCCCTTCTAGTATGTGCTGGGTTATCATAGCGACACACAACAAAAATTCACAGTCAAGGATAGCGCCTTTACGCGAACAATGAGATGAACGCCGTCTACGACGACGATCACAATCGACGCCATGTTTGCGGATAGAAGCAGCCGGCCCGCGACCGGCATGCAACGCGCGCGAACACTTCTCCTCGACCTGCGATTGCTCTGTCGTTGTGGTTTGTTTCCAACGCAGCGGAGGGACGCACGCACGTGAACGACACATGCGTGCGTCTCTCCGTCGCTATGGCAACTAAAGCCTCTCCCTTCGCTTCTCCCCGCTCTTTCGAGCAACCTCCGTGCCCCGCGAGTTCCGCTTGCAGCTCGCGCCGTCAGCGCCGTTATCTAGTGTCGCACAGGGAAGCGTGCTCGCTGCTCCGGTCGTCGGCGCGATCGGCGGGCTGTGCCAGAAACCGCACTATAACCGGTATTTCCCTTCGCGTGCCTGCGTTTTAAGCGGTATGTAATTACATGGAGTTCTATGGGAGGCGAACCGGTGGTTTAAAAAAACCGCGTTATACCCGGTTTTGCACTGTAAGCGGTTACGTTGTAAGTGGTCTATACTGTAGTATGTGTTTGTGGTTGTATGGGTTCCAGCCTTCAACTGTACTCCGCCTTAAGATGAAACAAGCCATACAGTGAGTAGCAATGCTCTGAATTATGTTTTTGTATCATATTCCTTTCCTCCTACTTCTCTAAAAATTAGAATCTACCACTAATCATCACATATTGTTTTGGTGCGGCTGTGGCACAATTCTTAGCAAATATGGCACTTCGGCAAAGATGTAGCAGACTTTCATTCACGGCGCAATTTGGTGCAAAAGGTGCAGCACTTCCGTCACTGGTACTTTTAAAAAGCATATTGAAATCTAGCAAAACTTTTCAAAACCTAAGTGCAAAACAAGTTTTACTAAATGTATTATTTTTAATTATTCAATCTGAAATGAGCCAATTGATGTCACTTAGCTATAAAGATTCGAATAAATCCCAAATGCCACCATAATTGTATATAGTATCTGCTAACCTCAGCGTTGTGCCGATCCGTCATGGCAGTCGTTTGCTGCTCGATTTTCTTCATCTTGCTCAAGTTTTTCTTCTTTGCCTTTTCAAATGCAGACACCAAGGCACTGCAGAAATATGAAGTGGGGAAAGAGACAAGTTAAACTGTCCCACATTAAAAAAAAGTAAAATAACACCATACTAAAAAAAAAAAAAATTTTACGGTACTTGCCTGTTTGCTCTCTTGAGATCATTAACAAACTCGGCCGACTGCTGCGATCTCAGTTCCGAGTTCTTGGTGATCTTCTCCAGCGTGGCCAAGAGCTCGTCGATGCGGGCTTTCAACTTCTTCTCACGCTTCTGAGATTCTGCCAACTCCTGGATCTCGGGACTAGAGCCTTCCTGGACAGTTAAATGTGGAAAAGCAAAGTTACCATCTCTTCCATGCTCTAAACAGACCTGGCCCATACTTTGTTCATTCCCAAGCTGACGGAGTGTTGGGAAATACGCGCTCACCGGATCAGTCAACTCTCTCCCTTTCATCACCTGACGACGCTCTTTGTATGTGGGCATGGATGGGAGAGAGATCAGCGGCAAAAAGCAGACATATGACTGGTTCGACGAACACATGGGCGAATGAAGTACAAAAGAGTGCGTATGCAGAAAATTTGTGTTTCATGGTGCGACAAACATGCGGCAAGACGCTACAAACTTACATGCCACGGGAACCGATATCAAATGCAGATAAAAAACGCGTGAACTCTTTATGAACTAGCATGTCACAGGAACCAATATTTCCATGCATGTCGCCGAGCGAGCGCATGCATGGCCGGATGGTTTCCACACTTGGCTGTCGCATGGAGGGTCTAGGTTTGATTCCAGGGAGTGGAATGTTCTTTTATTTATGCTTTCAACTTGGCGTTCTCGTAAGTTCGAGAAAATTGCCATGTGATTGAGTTACGAATGTTCTAAGCGCCAAATGTTCCACGCCGAATGTTCCAGAAATCCACGCGGGTACAAAAGATGCTCTGCGTGGCAAGCCAGAGTCAGTCCTGCTCTAGTGCTCAATCGTACTGCTCCGCTGACCTTCGATGCCTGCAACGCTACCTCTGTATTTTTGTTTACGGCACAAGTTCGCCAAATTAAACGTGTAGTTTCTGTTCATTCGTTGCTTCATCATCTGTCATTTGTGACAATATTGCACACACAGATCACCGACAAGAATGCAGAAACCTGCTGCAAACTTGCTTGTCACACGTACCGGTACCGCAGATTGCATAATTGATGTGAATCCCATTGGATCTCGGACGGAAATCGGGGCGCGAGCAATGTTTCGGAATTTTTATGTTGGATATTTAGCGAAAAAAATGGGATGGGCAATTTCTCAGGGAAGGGTGCCCTTACAAAATTGCACATGCGAAAACTTTTGTTTTTCTTCTCAAGATAAGACAGGAAGAGGCTCTAAAAGTATGGAGATCAAACCTACAACTAAACAAGAGTGCAGATACCAGGACACTGTAATTCCCCAATCAGAAAATTGGGCTTTGCACAAAACCCAGACCAAAATTAAGTATATATTTTGATTGTATCTGATAAGCGTGGAGACTCGCAGAATGTGTTGTGAATGCGCTGGCCACGAGCTGCGTGCGTGTGTGTGACGTCACATGAAAGTGAAGTTGCATGACTCCGACATCACGGTATCACAAAGTCGACATCACGGTATCACTAAGTGTCGAGTGAGATCATGGTGTCCCGAGACGGCAGGGTTTCAGGTGATGGGAGGGTGTCATTTGACCGGTGCAGCGCGTCACCCAACCGTGCCGCTCTTCCCACTAAGCCTAGCCCCATAACGCATTCCGCATTTTGATGCTAGGGCACTGCTGCTTTACGTCGAGAGACTTCAGAAGACGCAGGGCACCTTAATGGCCCAGAAAAACGTGGAATGCGACACTCACGAGTCTTGTGGCGGCCCTGGCCTGGGCCCTGTCCTGGGCCTGGCGGAGGTCGCCCAACTCTGCCCGGAGGTGGTCCAGGGAGACCGTGTAGGCCTGCTCCCGAGCACCCCAGCTGCCAGACTGGAGCTCCAGTGACGCCTTCTCCTTCTCCAGCAGGTACACCTGTGCCTTCAGCTCAGCCTTCTCCTCCTGGGTCGGGGAAGGTACGCCATGCATAACGAATGGGCCAGCAACATTTCCCGTAACAAAGCGCCCGAGATAAAGTGGTTACGGTAGAACCTTGCCAATACGTCCTCAGTGGATGCTTTTTCTCGGCTGCCCCACTGATAGGAAAGCCCGCCCCATTGAACTCATACAGGAATATCTCTGTCAGTTTCCTGTTTGTTGTGCTTGCCCTCCCAGTTATGAAGTGTCACACTATAGGTAGCAGTGAGAACCTTGTTGATACATTCTCGATGGATCCATTGGCTCAGCTGTAAGGGCCATGAATACCAATCCCATTTAACTGCTATAGATGTGTGTGTAACAGTTTCCTGCTTATTATGCTTGCCTTCCCGGTTGTTACAAGTCATACTATCAGTAAGGCAGCCTTCTCTGCTGCTCCACAGATAGAATGATGCTGCCTCGTGTGTTCTCAGTATAGTTTACTCCACAGGCACTAGTTTAGTTTTCACCGAATTGTTTGTTACGGAGTTCTGCCTTGCCCATGACATTAGCCGAACAACAACGAAAAGCGAAGTGAACCGAGACGGGCATCTGGCACATGGGTAAGCATGCAAAGCATGGCAACCTTGATGGCCATAAGCTCCTGCATGAGCACGGCGTTCTCAAGGTCCAGCTTGTGCGCGTCCAGCAGGGAAGGGGCCCCTCGGGGCTCCACGTGCACCGTCTCCAGCTCCAGCAGGGTGGACCGCACCGCGCTGCGCTCGCTCCGCAGCTGGCCTAGGTACTCCCGCAGCCGCTGCTCCTCCGCCTTGCTCAGCTCTCCACCACCGTCGCAGCTGCTCGACGTAGAGCTGGTCGTACTGTGTTCAAGAGTGGCACGTGCCGTTCTCAACGGGTTAATGAAAGAGCATCTTAAAAAGATCTACCTTAATTACTAACTCAAACTCTAGTACACACCAACCATCATTTATTTTCTCTCTCTCTCTCACAGTCGAGCGATAAAAAATTTTATGCTTCTCTTGTTTTGCAGGTTCTGACGGACTCATACTAAAACAGCACAAGAGGACATGGACGAAGCGAGAAACTCGACGAAACAAAAGCAAATCAAACAGCATTTGTTTCGTCCAGCTTCTCACTTCGTCCGTTTCCAGTCGCATTGTTTCGATACGAATACATACCAACTCGCCAGGTTATCTATTCTGAGGGATGCTGTGCGTGATGCTACGAAGTGAAAAATAATTAGCACAAATAATTGCCTGTTTTTCTCCTCAAATTAGAACGCTGCTGTAGAAATTATGCATGCCGTGTAAAGTACTCGGTTGCAGTACCAACCTACGTGGTAAAATGTGGGAACTGTCAACGTACAATGCCCGAGTAACACACGAAAAAGTGCCAACGTTGGGAGTTGCCGACCATATTGCGATGCGCACATTCACCTCACAATGGCTACGTGAAAGGGGTCGCACGAAAAAGTGCCAACGTTGAGATGTGCCGACCATATTGCGATGCAGCACGTTCACCTCACAATGGCTACGTGAAAGGGGTCGAGGTGTAGGCTCGATCCTATTTTTCTTGGCTCTTACATTTTGTTAAATAGCTACACACCTCAAATCTAATAATTGCAACACAAATTATAGAGACTAAATTTCCAGAAAAAAAAACAAAAAACACCTCCTTGTCAATGTTTCCAAAAATTTCATAGCCTACCGTATTTACTAGAACAATAGACGCAATACTTATCAACAAGACGCTAGCATCTTTTTTCTTGCAACACCCACATACAGCATATCATTGCGTTCTGCATAGAATACGTAGATAGTTACAAGGTTAGGAACAAGATTCCCCGTGAAATTGCAATATGTGCAGATAGCATTTTCGCGTGAAGACGTTATCTCTGTCCATTAAATCACTGGCGTCATTCTACCATTCGAGCTAAGTGGTTATCCACGTTCTCAGCGAGAAGGCGAACCAAAGGCTCTGTTCATAAACAGTGCGCCCGTTAAGGCCCGTTCACACACTTGCGTTCGGAGCGACCACTATGTTTACGAACGAATGCAACCGCCGTGACTTCAACGACAACTTTGCGCGACGTGTACACACACATGCAACCGCACGCAACCATACGAAGCAACAACCAATGAGAAACGAGCTTCAGCTCTTGCTCCTAGCCAATAGTAAGCAACCCAGGTACGCTTAAAAACATGGCGGACGGTTTCGTGCACGACGCGAGGCCTCAGACTTCTCACCGGAGAAGCCGGAGGTTTCGGCTACGGCGAACAGTCACGAAGATCTGCTGTGCGCCTACAATAGCTGTGTAAAGGCTGGTTCTGACATCTGCAACGAACCCGTTATCCACGACTGCGTCCGTTGTGACCAGAGCGACCGGAACGACCGCTCTGCGCCGCGCGTACACTCCAGCAACCTCTGCCACAAGCGCAGCGGGTCGGCAGCACGGCGACCGCCTCTCCGCCGCCGTCAGCTGTTTTAGCGGTGCCTCTAAAAAGAAGGGGACGCTCTGCCACTCTTTTACGCAACAGAAAATAGACAGACCGTCTTCTATGACCAAAACTTTATTTATTTTTTCAGGATACGCTTGCAGGGTAGCGCATTAAAAAAAAAAGGGGAATGATGCAGTACTCCGTCTTGCCCGATCACGACTTTAATACACGACTTTGTCACAGTACAAATCTCGCCACACGCCTTTTCTAGGATCATAAAAGACAATGTAATTTTAGCAGCGATAGTGCAACGCAGAAAAATAATTTCGTGATCAGATAGGCGTTGCGGGCATTCAGAATTGCTAACGCTAATCACCTTTTTCGGGTGAGGAAAACGCGTGAAAACTCGCATCCTTTATACGGTACGCACCAGTAATACCTTGAACTTGAGCACACGCATGGAATGCACCAAATAAGAAATCCGGGTGATGCTCGAGGACACAAATGCTAAGAAAGCACCACTGTAGTCGAAGTAAACAAACACGACGGCACGGGCGTTTCTGCTGTCTTGAGAGTGCCGCCACGAGATCGCCGCACGAGTAGGTGGACCTTCCTTTTTAGTACGTGCTGGGTTATCATAACGACACACAACGAAAATTCTCAGTCAAGGATAGCGCTTTTACACGGAACAATGAGCGTTCACCACGCCGTCCATGTCGACGATCACCATCGACGCCATGTTTGGAAATAGAAGGAGCCTGGCACGACCGGCATGCAACGCGCGCGACTGAGCTCTCCTCGACCTGTGATTGGTCCGTCGTTCTTGAACGTAACGAAAAAGTTCAGCCCGGCTCAACTCCTTGCGTTGCGAACGAACACGAACGAAACGACCGTTTGGCGCTTCGTTGCTATGGTAACTCGTCGTTCCAACCGGTTGCATTCGTTCGTAAGCATAGTGGTCGCTCCGAACGCAACTGTGTGAACGGGCCTTTACTCGTGTAAATACGGTACTTCTTACTTTCGACGAGCGTATTGGTTGTCAAAGATTATACAAAACTCCCGCTGAGGAACTGTGCTTGTATGCTTGTACTGTCCGTCGGCACGTTGCCTTCGTCCGCAGTTATAATCTTCATAAAGTGACCAGATAGCTCGAGTTAGGCGGCTGTGGACTTGATGTCCTGCCTGCTTGCTTGTGGGACGGTGTTTTGTCCAGCTTCTCCATTTCGGTTCCCCCGTTTATTTAATCGGGACGCAACTTTATCACCTAAAAAGTGTTTTCCAAATTTTTAAGTTTCTAGCGGAAAAATGCCACCTAGATATGACATATTAAAAAAAAATACATTATTGTCGGCTTGCGTTTTTTTTTTGGGGGGGGGGAATAATATAGTGAGAGAGACGAGAGAAATCTTTTTTGGCTAACGAGCCAAAGCCACAGCCGACGCTCATTTGCCTACATCGCTCGTGCAGCTTGCGTTTCTGCCGCCGCGCCACTTTTTGTTCAGCGAACTTCCTATAATGCATTGGTTCATCAATTGCTCTCCATGCTGCATTGGTGAAAGCACATGGGACGACATGCAGAAATGTGAGGAGAAGATGTCAGAGTTCAGGCATGTTAATGTTGACGAGAACGCCTTATTTGACGAGGCCTCTAACATTTCACGTTGTTAGAGGCCTGACTGCTAAAAAGCTGTAGGAGAGGAAGAGCGAGAAGAAAGCAGTAGGTGAATGGTGGGCGGAAGTGCTTCAGCATTTTGAGAAGACTGAAGTGCCTTGTGCAAATGTGAAGGCATTCACCGAGTATTGCATCTGCTCACCAGGAACAAATGCACCAGTGGAAAGTGTTTTCACTGATGAATAAGATATACTGCGGAGGAGACATAGCTTCAAGTGACAATGCTTAAAGTAATGCTGATGCTGAAGTTGAATGTGCACATGACGTGTGAGCAGTACCATTAACATATATCTTCGGAAATGAAGGACTACTGAAGAAGATTCATTCCAGCAAAAAGTATTAGAGAAGTGTCTAATACTGTTAGCTAGAATGTCGCATTGTCTAGTTGTTCCAAAATTCGACAGAGACACTTAAACGGGCACTGACACCCCAAAGGTCTATTTTTTATTGTCTAAAACAATGTAAATTGTAGTTATAAACATGCAAAAAAAAAAAAAAACGCAACAAGAAAAAAATTTTTTTGCGCGCGTATGCTTTTTTATTTTTGGCGCTCTTCTCTCCCGCTTTTCACCTCCTCGCTTCTTTTGATTTCTGACAACAAAAATCATGAAATTTAGAAGCTTTGTAGGCGACATTTTTATACCATTTAATAACGACAATCGCAAAACATGTTTTTTAACCCAATTGCAAATGCACTACGGCCCTTCTTTTTGAAATACCAAAAATAAGAGTATGTTGTGATGTCGTCTCCTGGATTTTTATCCTCCCTCGGAAAACATGGCGGCACTCGATGCATGTAGCAGAGGGTGATCGGTGAGTCGGGGATTAGGACGAAATGGTCTTTTTTAGGTGCCCGGCGACCTCTCAGACTTTGAAAAGGAAATGGTCGAACGGTCAAAACAACTGGGTTTGATGCCAGAGTATCATAGTTTCGGTTGTGACACCACCGGGGCAGCGTTGTCTGCTCGAAGCGATAGGCAGCACGGCACGCACACAGAAAACCGGTTTCCCGATACGCCGGCGCCCTTCTCTCCTGCTCCTCACCTCCTCGCTTTGGGTTGCGGAGACACGTTTCGGAGCGGAGGCGCAAAAGAAACTTGACTCGCAGGACCCCTCAATATTTGACATCACTCCACTGGCCAGGATTGCGCGGGAACTTCAAATTCAGCATTTGGAAATTGTTTTTTTACTTCACAAATACTGAATTCTCATGTTTCAAATTTTGAGGGTAATGTCCAGGCATCATTTTCAATCATTTCGCATAATAAAAGAAAATATGATCTTGATGTGCCAGTGCCCCCTTAAGACTGCTTATGTGTAAGAATGCAAAAGCGTTCCCACACGCAGCGCATTCCTACAAGCAGTGCCTTCTTCACACGGCGTGCCGGCGGTGACATCAAGCTCCTCCACTGCACAGGCGTGGCACACCCGCCAGCTCCACGGCTTCTGTGACGATGCATCTGCGTTTCTTCGCTTTACTTTGTGTTTTATTTCTGAGGCTCGCCCGCTTCGACCTTGAGCGCCCAGCCGGCTTCCGTGACGAGGCATCTGATATGACGCTTCGCAGCCAATGGGAATTCCGCTTGCGGGTGCCGTTTTCCTGTTACAGACAAAGCCAACTTCGCTCCATGGGACAGTTAATGCTTTTTGCATTAATAAACAGTGCGATTTGCAGACTAAAAAACTGAATGCCAAATCTCAATGTTCAACGCCCCCGGATATGCCTCCTGTTTTGGAGTCTGAGAAATATGGTCGCTTTAAGATAATCTTCATGATTAGTGTCGTATTTCTTATTCATGCACCTCCGGGCACGGACCCAGTGCGGTCCCGGTGCAGCCTCCTCTGTGGACCCAGTGCAGCCCCAGGGCTACGCTGTGTGGGTGCCGTGCAGACCCAGTGTAGACCCAGTGCAGCCCCAGTGTGTCCCCAGGGCTATGCTGTGAGGCCTGACCTGGTGGTGTGGCTGTGCGAGGAGAGGTCCTCCCAGGGACTCAGGTTGCAGCCGGGGGGCGTGGCCAGGCCGTACTGGCGGTCCATCCGGTGCAGCAGCTGCCGGGCCACGCCTTCGGCCAGCCGCCGCTCCTCCTGCATGCGCTGCAGCAGCAGGGACACATCCTCCTGCTCCTTGCCGCTCAGCTCCTCCACTGCATATCGGGGATCCGAACGGGGCAGACAATGACAGAAAACCGAGGCTGTGCGATTGTTCTAAACTCCCGCTATTCGACTCCGTCCGCAGTACACTATCAAGACCCGTTCACGCACTTGCGTTCGCTTACAACCGTGTTCCTTCTATCTCTCATGACAAGAGAACAACACACTGCCATGTTGGCGCCATCTATAAGGTGGCCTGAAACTGCATTTCACTAGAGCAAAGGTCTTGCGGTATTTGCGAGGTCAAATGTACAGTAGGCTCGCGATAAGTCAAACTCGGATATTTCAAACTTCCGGTTGATTCAAACAAATTTCGAAAGTTTGATTGTCCCATTATATTTTTAATCTGTTCATAAGCCGCTTAATTTGAGCGGTGTTTTTGTGTGATTCATACTTTTTGTTCTCGCGGCCCCTTTGAGCGCGCTTCATGTCGAGCACCGGTACACTGCTGAGAAACAGCACCCGTGGAGCTCACTTCCGCGGGTATTGCTTTTCAGCAGTGCACTGGTGCTCGGTAAGAAGTGTGCTCAACGGGGCTAGTGGTCCACGATAGACAACTTTTTCCTGGACAAACAAACTTTAATTTTGTTTTGAGGCGTCATGCGCTGTTTAAACAGTCACGATAGACATTTTTAAGGAATGAATAAACTTATCTCATATATTTCACCAATGTTAAAAGGGTTTCATACCTGCTTATGATTAGTGGGCCTGTGTAGAGGAAATCAGCAAATATCTGCTTTGTACATGTAGCCATCCATATAACAAATAATAATTTGATCTTGCATCATATTTAGACAAATTTCTGATAATTCAAGCTTCCGATAATGCAAACATAATTTGTGGCTTCTTGAAGTTTGAATTAATGATAGTCTACTGTACATACTATCTATGATAAAGGGTGGTTTTTCAAAAAATGGTTTTCGAGCCAATAAAAAAACTAAGCTGTCCCGCATTAGTCCGTACAGCTACAACGGAAAAACATTAGAACAAATGACCAATAATCGGAGCGGCAAAATCCCAACACGCGTCGCTATTGTTCCCGAGTGCACCAAGAGCGAGAGTGCCAGTCACGTTCCATGTTTCAACGCGGGGGTGGCCAGCAGAAGATTGAGAGATAACATAGCTTCCTAAATGCGGGCTTTAGGATGGGCTACTTTCTGCCGGCCACCCCCGCGTTGAGACATGGAACGCGACTGGCACTCTCGCTATCGGTAAGCTTGGGAACAATAGTGTCGCGTGTCGCAATTTTTCCGCTTTGGTCGTCGATCACTTGAGCTAATCTTTTTCCATTGCAGCTTATAGTCACGGCAACAGCTGCGGCATGTCACGGCGAAGTCGTCGGGCATCGACATCGCGTTTGGAAAAAAATAGACATACGTTCTGTCCCAACCGCTTTTGTTTTGTTCCATTTTGTTCCCAACTTTCTTTCTTTCTTTCTTCCGGAGTGCGTGAAAGTGCATCTCCCGGCACGAGCTCTTGGCATTGACAGTGCTACAACGACATTTGGTTACCGACTGCTTTTTTTTCTAGAGAGCACGTGCAGTGGGCATTGGGTACTACAAAACCCCCAGGTTTAGAGCAGGTCGTTAATGGCTTGGCGTAGCTTGGCATCAATGCCTCAGCTTCGCACGCGGCGGACACAGGTTCGAATTTTGCAGGCGGCCGGCAATCTTTTTTTAAGCATTTGGCAACGTCGACGATGGGAGCCCTACATTGCCAACTACAACGTCGACAATGCCAACAACTACTAGCACAACTATAACATCAACGACTGACGTCATTTTCGGCGTTGAGGAGAGCCCGTAACAGCTATGGCTATAAAAAGAATGATGCGCGATAAAAATAGGAACTATACAAGAACAGCAAGTGTTCCACGGCCACCCCGAACATGGTGCCAGTAAGAGATCACAAGACCTTGGTCATTAGCTGTTGCGTGTGAATGTGGCCTTAGTCTTCGAGTTGTTAAAACATTCAAAATTTAGAAATAATGCCTTCGGAAAGCTTCCCCCAATTTCTTGCGTTCACTGCTCAGACAAGTTCAGAACGTTTGCTCACTATTGTAAGCCAACCTTCTTTGGTTATGATTATAAGTCGACCCCCAGTTTTAAAGGGCAGTGCCAAAAAAGAAAGTAAAAAAAGTCATCAATTTGCTCGTGACATTCTTTTACGTTTTACCAAACTCGCGTAATACCATAAAATACCGAGAATCTGCCCATTCCACACTAAATACCGAGCATCCGCCCATTCCACACTAAGTCCCTGTCCCTAAATGTTATAACGTCTGAAAAATATGCGCAGTACAAATACAGAAAAAATTTGTGAGCTAACAAGCACCCACCCCCACTTGCTTCCGATTATCTCCAAATTTTTAGTGGGCGCTTGAGCGGTACTTTACGGTAGTGACCACAAGTATGGGAGTTGTTCCTCATACAGTAAAACTTCTTTGAAAAAATGTGCTTGTTGAAAAAACAATTCCAGCTGCACTTAATAGAGTACTCATACACAATTCATATTAAATAACTTGAGGGAGAAAGAGCAATTCAATATTCATTCATTTCTTTCTTCTAAAACAAGCTCACATCAATAACTTTGGTATATGTTATACTCCGTTTTACGATAACTTGGCAAACTGTGGACACTGCAACCACCCCGACTCAATATGGCACATGATAACATGCCATAGTTGAGGCCATGAGGGCCTCGTTTCCACCACAGCAACAGCGCCGTCTGCCACAAAAAGTAGTTCTAGGCTTCTTTTTCTTTTTTTAATGGCAATTGAACTTGCGCGAGTTCATCTTTATCAAGAATATATAAAAAATAAAGAATAAATTTTCACACACTTATTAGTTTCAACTATATTTAAACAAAGAAGTGACACCACGTCCGTATCTGCTCTCAATTTTTTTCTTTCTTGTAACGTCGTGGCCTTTGGTGATCGCAGCCCTGTAATCGACCGCTTCCGCTCAAAACATTGCCCTGGCATTAGCGCCTGCCAGATTCACGGGTAAATTGAGCGTATGGTTGTCTCATGAACTGTTCCCGAAGAGCTCGCTTCTCTACTGGATGGCAATGTTGGGGTGATGGATGTTTGCCCAAAGTTGGTTCGTTTCGCAGCAGACAACCCATGGCCAGCAGACGACAGCCAGTTCCTATGGACCTCACATTTGGCGCACACACACACGCTCCGGTGACGTGATGTCACGTGCCTCGCTTCGACTCTCTTATTGGATTGTGGGGGCTGTAGCATCCACAGTTCACCAAGTTATTGTAAAATGGAGTACAGTACACACGCTAAAAACTAGCATGAAGCGTGAAGAGTTTATGCCAGTAGTACTAGATAGTTGAGACGTTAGTAAGTAATGTCCAGGCATCATTTTCAATCGTTTTGGATAATAAACAAATACATGATCTTGACCTGTCAGAGCCCCTTTATGGCTTCTAAGAACACTTCTAAAGTTCAAGTTTTATGGTTTACAAATCTGCAAGAGCAACATTCAGGTCTGTGAAAAAATGAAGATTCGGTAAATTAAAAAAGAGAAAGACAAGCGACTTTCTACAAAGATGCTTCAAAGTGGTGAATCCATTGTAAAAGCTTGGTCTGCTGGGCAAGTTGGTACTGGACATTCATATTAAAATAGCGCAAAAAAGACAGGACAAAAAGACGAAGAAGCACACAGGACAAGCGCTAACTGGCAACTAAAATTTATTGAATGCTTCCAACTTTGCTATCACTGTAAACGCGCTTAGTCTCGTCTCAACAAAAACCCAGCGTACCGTCAAATCAGCAGATACAGCCCGCCCACCGCCTGTTCAAAACGTCAGCAAAACAGCTACATCACCCCACCGCACAATCCGAACGAGGAAAGGAAAAAGCGCCGCGTTAATATTTACGCATTAGAAACTGTACTCTTTCAGCTGCATACACATATACACCAGTGCGATGCTTATGCAAACGTCTTTGTCACAAGCATGTATTTTTGCCGCCTCCAGCAGCTCTCGTTCCAACCTTCCTTTGTTGCGTCCCTCCACCTGCGCACCTTCCAGCGTGGTGGAACAACCACAAGTTTTACAATGCCCCGGCAAGCGGGAACCGTAATTGTTGCCAAGAGAAGCCGCATGCTCTCGAAGTTTATCATTTAAGCAATGTCCCGTCTGGCCTATGTAAACACGACCACACGTTAAAGGAATCCTGGAAACCCCCTCAGTGGCACAAGGCACAAACTTTGTGACACGTTTCTTGCTGCAAACGGGTTTCTTCACTTTCAGCCCACTCACCATAGCGCACAATTTTGACAATCTGCACGGGGCAGTGAAAACAACGTCCACATCGAACTTAGACGCTATCCTTTTCAGATTGTGCGACACCTTATGAATGGAAGGTAGCACTACAAAATTCTTTGGTTTCCTCTTTTGAGAGCAAGCGGCTTCTCTTGGCAACAATTACGGTTCCCACTTGCCGGGGCATTGTAAAACTTGTGGTTGTTCCACCACGCTGGAAGGTGCGCAGGTGGAGGGACACAACAAACTAAGGTTGGAACGAGAGTTGCTGGAGGCGGCAAAAATACATGCTTGTGACAAAGACGTTTGCATAAGCGTCTCATCGGTGTATATGTCTATGCAGCTGAAAGAGTACAGTTTCATTAACACTATCTAACATGTAAATGTTAACGCGGCGCTTTTTCCTTTCCTCGTTCGGATTGTGCGGTGGGGTGATGTAGCCGTTTTGCTGGCTTTTTGAACAGGCGGTGGGCGGGCTGTATCTGCTGATTTGGCGGTACGCCGTGTCTTTGTTGAGACGAGACTAAGCGCGTGCACAGCGATAGCAAAGTTGGAAGCATTCAATAAATTTTAGTTGCCAGTTAGCGCTTGTCCTGTGTGCTTCTTCGTCTTTTTGTCCCGTCTTTTTTGCGCTATTTTTAATATGAATGGTGATTTTTAATATGAATATGAATCCACTATACAAAAATTTTGAAAGCTTCACCCGACTCAAGGATCTGAAAAATACCTTTCATTGACAGAAACAAATTTTAATGATTTCACCCAAACACTTTTCTCACGAGTTTCTATTTTGAAATTCTGGCAACAAGGACCCTCCAACTTCTGTTGCGACAAACTTACCACCCAACACGTGCCCCTGTGCCAAGTTACAAGCTGCTGCGTCCATCCCCGATTTTAGTTAGTCGCGAGTACACCTCCTTCCTCTCCAACAGAATGCCAATACAGAAATCCCAGAGAGGCGTCTCACGTGGCGTGGTGAGGGAGACCAGGCCCGCAGCCCTGCAGCTGGCCAGCACCAAGCCCTGGCCAGAATCGGCAAGCGCCAGGAGTGCGTCGAAGGCCTCGAGCGCCCGGTCGCTGCACGCCAGGGCCAGCTGAAGGGCCGTCTGGTTCGACTCGTGCTTCCCCAGGAGCACGCTCAGTCGGTCACACTGGCCTCGGCTTTCCTCCAGGGCCAGCTGCAGCAGGTCGTTCTGGCAGCGCAGGTGCTCCACCTGCAGGCAAGGCATTCCACAGTTTTCCTGATGTGCCCTTGACCTACTGCATTGTCGTACCAGCTGTATTCGATCGTTCGCACGAGTGCGAACGATCGAATACTGCCATCATGTGTGTTTTGGCTAGGTAACCCAGAGCACTGCTCCTGTTCACGCACTTCGTTCTTGCATCCCGACGGTCGACTATGCATCAACAAAGTAGCAAGCCCTGCGGCCCTGGCCGGCGTCTGTCATATTTCGCACATATGAAGCCAGACATTGACCTCGAAATCGCTGTGTTGCGTTGAAGACAGCCGAAATGTCTCGATAGGCGAGATGTCCAGGAATTACTGTGGCAAGGCGTGTAGTCGGGTGAGTCAATGTACGCTCAGAGAATAAAACGGAGCAAAGAAGGACACAAGAGCAACTAACACATTTCTTGACGGTGTTGTACAGAATAATTTGTTGAAGAGATGCCCTGTCTTTTCTTTGTTTCTTTTATCGTTATGCTGTTTATTAAAATATAAAATGACAGCCAGTAGTCAGCGCTGTGCTTGTGTGAGTCTTCTACTTGTCTTTGTGTTCTTTTTTGCACTGTTGTATTCATTCCGTCTGGGAACTACTTTAGTTATGGTCCCGTACTCGGCTGCGCCGCCGTGGAGTGCACAGGCACAACTGAGTGTTGGGCTAATCCAGGCTACACAAGGCTCCCAACTTTGGGAAGAAAGGTTGTGACACGACCACCTTACACTGGTGGTAGAATACCTCAGTTGTTATAACATTGCCTTCAGAGAACGGGCAATATAAATTACTATTAAGTCCCGAGAGATGCCCCACCCCTGAAAGATAGCCCACCCCTATTTATTGTTTGATTTGCTATATTTGTTTAAACACTGAAAGATAGCCCACCCGTATTTTTTGTTTGATTTGCCATATTTTTTTAAACACCGAAAGATAGCCCACTCCTAATAGCAGTGGCTGGATCAATGACAGCCTCAAAGTAAATGTGGCTAGTTAGTTATGGCGGGATATAAGTGAATGCTGCTGATTGGGAAGCACAGCCATCTTTGCTTCATTGCCTCTTGCCACAATAACAAGCTTGGAAGAGACACGACCTAAAAATAGCATTTTTAAAACTTTTCTTGATTTTGTACCGAAAGTTAGCCCACTTCATATTTTCACCCGATTTGCTCGTGATTTTAGATGGGCTATCTGTCAAGATACAGAAAAACCTCGTTATAACAAAACGGGATATAACAAACTAATGGATATAACAAAGCAATCATAATTCCCCTTGCTTGCTAATAGTGGGAAGAAATGGACATTGGCTATAACAAACTAATGGTTATAACGAAATAATTACGACCGCTCCTTCAACTTTGTTATAACGAGGTTTTACTGTATAACGGTAGGAGAAAGAGAGAACTCACAGAATGCTAGAAAGTATATATTAAGCAGAGCAAACCATCATGAAGCTCATGTATTGCTGCTGATGCTTAGCCGAACAAACAGGCCTATGTGCAGGCTTTGTCAGTTCCATTGCGAATGCAGCTGGAGCCGTTTGTAGGTTCTTAAGTCTTAGAAGTTTCACCCATCTACCCACTTAAAAACACAACTGGTAAGTTGGTCAGTCGCTGCTCTAACAATTACGCTCATCTTACCAAAGATACTATGCAATGACAAACAATTCAAGTAGACAAAAAGACCACGAATATGGTATTCTAATATCGATGCCCTGATAACAATAGAGTGCATAGAATCTGTCGACTGGCTTGAGGCCAAGCTGCTTCACAGGTGCACTAGCATTTGAGCAGCAAGAGTTTGTCTCGGCACTGGCTGTGGCATTTGAACGGGGTGCAATAAATGCGAACCTTGCTGCTGAGGCGTTCGGTCTCCACCTCAAACTCTCGCAGGCGTCCCTCGGGCAGCGGGGAGCCCGAGGACCGCAGGCGCTGAGCCGCAATGGCCTCCTGGGTGTTGGACTCCTCCTGAAGCTGCTGCACCAACTGCTCCGCCACCTTGGTACTTGAAATCTGGAACCACAAATGGGAGCTTCAGATTGTCTGCTGATTGCTATACTCAGGAAAAACTTTCTGTGGCAATGAAGAGAAAGCTGGGGGTCACTGTGAGTGCTGGCTGATTGACTTCCCAAGCGAGTACTGTAGTTTGGTACTGTTACTGAGCACCTGAATGGCCACTTGACCTGTGCAGAGCGATGATAGCAATAAAAATTCAAGATTACGAAACAAAATTTTGTACATTTTTGTTTTGCTCTCCTCGCTTCCTCAGTACGACTTTTGATAACCTTGACGATGTCGTGTTGAAGAAACTCTTTCTTAACGACTGGAAACTGTGGACACTTCTTTCTAAGAACTAGTGTGAACCAATTCGCACTTGGTGGAATCGGTGACCAAACTGTTACTTCAAGGTCATCACTGAACCAAAACCAAACTGGAACAAAATGCAAAGCTACTAGGGAGTTTTAGCTAGTCGTTTCCACACGAACGGTTCGTCCTCGAACGCATTGGCAATTCCACTGCGCATGCGCATGTGAGTTGTTTAGGGCTTTGGGAGGCTCTTCTCGTTCGTTTCTCCCACTCTGGCCGTTAGAGTCGTCACCGGAATGCAGCCAGCGCCGTTCACGACTCGGGTAAAAAAAAAAAGATGGCGGTCGGTTTGTCCCTTGTTCCAGCCGCGCGTTAGACTTAGGACAGCAGGAGGCTATTTTCCATCCTGCTACTTTGCTTCATTTCAGAGGTTGAACCAAGTCATTTCGAGGATGGCTCACAATTGTAAGCGATCGTGAATGCTGTAAAGTTTGCATGCTAGTAAATTTTTTAGCAATGTGCGGGCTGACGAGCTGCCACGGCAACCGTCAGCATACGAAAAGATTTGGTTCGACGGCACACAACGTGAACAGTCAATCAAGTTCAAGACGACGAAGACACACCACCTACCTTTGCCGTCGTTCACACATTTTACTCTATCTAGCTTCACAGCTCTTGAAATTCCAACCAATAAATGTTACGTCAGCTGTCTTGTTTACATCAGTCGTATGCGGGAGCATGAGCCACCACGATTTTGAACGCTGCAGAATGTTTCACATGTTTACTAGAAGATGGCGCGGCCAGTCAAACTCAACCATCACCATTGTTTACACGGTTGCATCAGTTTTACGACTGGCTAAAATATGTTAAATTTCTTGTACGGTTTCGCGGAATGGACCAGCTGCACCATTCATGATTTTGGAACAATGTGCTCAAAAAACAACCTCTTAAAACTCCCTACTGAACCCAAACCAAACCGGAATAATGACTGGTTCGACTCCCTGGGCGGAACGTTCGCTTCAACAGCGTCACCGTGTGTGCTTCGGCAAGGCAACACCTGGGTTGCACAGAGTGCCTCACCCCAAGCGCGGCCATCTCCGAGCCCAGAATGTGGCGCTGGGAGGTCCCCTCGAGCTTGCGCAGGCGCACCCGCTCGGCCATCTTCGCCACAGGGGCACCCTCCTCTCCCCTCAGGGTGGACGCCTCCTCTCCCATCGGAGAGCCGGCCCCCAGCTGGGGGCTCTGCTGTGACTGACGCCCCTGCAGCTCCCGCACCTGGCCATGAAAAAGGCGGAGCGGGCGGCCGGTCAGTCATGCCAACAGAACTTTAATAGACCGATCTCACCAGCCAGCTTGGCTACGCCACCCCTGCTGCAATTTGTCAATGGAACTTTAGTCTTTCTGCATACGCAACAACGCAGCTCTGCGCGTGCAGAGCATGAGACAGCATGAGCCGTCTCGTGAGCTGCCACCCGCCTGCTGCGCAGTAAAGTCATGGCAGCGTTGCAGATGTGCCAAACACTCGGTGAGGTCAGACTATTACGTCAAACCATGCTTATTTAAGAAGAAGGCCCATGTGTTTGCTCTCTCGCAGGAAACACGAAAATTCAATCACTCAGACCCAAAAGAAGAGCCTCATAAACAACGATGCGGAGATAATGCATTTGAGCAGAAATACGGCTTGCACTAGATCCTGGAAATGCAAAACTTTAGGTTCATTATCGCAGGACACGCACTATCAGGATTCTCCCCACAGTACACGAGAGTGGTTTTGCTACCGGCTAACTGCCCACCTCTGTGATGCCCTGCCTAGCTTTATGTCTTGCCCCGGCCGCACCAAGGGAAGTGGATTGTGCGAACGCACAATGTGGCGAATCGTGGTGTTTGGCAGACTCATGAGCAGCACGTAGAAGTACAAGCACCGAGAGAAAACAAAATTGCAACAATCCCCCCCCTCCTCCTCCATTGTGAGATGTTCTACTCTCAAAAACTTTGTGGGGGAACTGTGCACGCTATTTTTATTTGAACAAGTTACTTCTTGCTTACATTTTTAAATACAGCTTCCACCACTTGCATTGCTTTAAGAAGATAAACACCCGAGCCACCTTCATAACTTGCACACGTTATAGACTAGAAAACGTGCCAATTGAAAAAGAAGGCACTTGGAAACTCGCTTTTCTGCAGGCAATCGCGTCTCTCGGCACGCAAGTGGCCCTCCGACGGGTGAGCCCCACCTTGCGCTGTGCCCTGTCCCTGTCCTCCTGGGCCGAGGCCAGTGCAGCTTTAGCTCTGTGCAGGTCCGCCTCCCTCCTGCTCAGCTGCTCGTGCAGTGCAATGTTCTGTGTCTTGAGCGAGGCCACCTCTTCCTGGCACTGAGACACCTGCAGGCTGTGGCACGACGTTGCCCGGTTCTCCACGCTGTACGCGCGACACCGGACACCGCTCCTGGACACCTGCGAGATGGTGTTGCCGCCGCCATTGTTGGCTTTGTAGCGACATCGAACTTGCCGGATCGTGAGTGCAGAATGTGTGCCACGAGCAAAGGCAACTTTCCGCCACGTCTCGGGGTAATTCTTTTTTTGAAGCCAAGCAGACAACTTTTATATTTCTAGGGCCAGCCTCATTTTAGGTAACATAACTACCACTACTTATATGATGTAAGAACTTTGGCTTTCTGTTTATAATTATCTTCAGAGCTTTTTGGCTAATTTAAAAAAAATTACCAGATACTTTAAAAAAGTACAAAAAATGAGGCTGTGCAGTTTTAACAAGTTAGGTGAAAACAACTATAGAAGCATAGTTCAAAGACCGGTGTTCTCTTTGAACTCCAAATTTAATAAAAGTATTCTATAATAACAATGAAATTTCCCAAATGAAATAGGAAAACTAAAACCATTTCATTAACATCCAGATTTAATAATAAAAAAAAATACTATATATTTTTTGCTACTATTTATTATAAAATATAATAATTATTTTATTCCAATCGCAACCTGCACTTCCAGTGAAACAACAGGTGATCCCTGTGCCAATAGCTCACATTCAATTATAATATGCCTTAACCTTATTCAAATGAATATTTGGGCTACTTGGTTCATTATCACGTTCAAAGCGCCAAAACTACACAAGGACAACAAGAAGAAGGATGAAAATAGAGCACCCCGTTTTCGTCTCCTTTCTTATTGTCCTTATGTAGTTTTGGCACTTTGAAAGTGTTAACCGTAATCCTTTTGCATTCAAAATTCACGTTCAATTTCTATTAATTCCCATCGAGCTATAAACAGACCCACAAGTGCTTTGTCGTCAAAATTTCTGGTGCCGTCACACTCCCAGTCTGTAGTTAGCTTCTAAAATTCCCAGTCTATCTATCACACAGTTACTCACTGTAACTTACCTGCGGTTTTTCGTCGATGCTTTCGTTGTCTCCAAGGCCACTGCTGGTGTCTTCCCCTTCTGGAATTTCGTTGCTGCGAACAATCTCGGTGCGCGACTCCTTTCCGGAGATCAGTCCCACGTACTCGGGTGGAGACTCGTCCCCTGACACAAGGTGGGACCGTGCAGGCTACAAAACGGGCCCACGAACACGGCGCGATCTGGACCAGAACTGACCATCGGGTCGATCGGCTTACCTCTGTCGCTGATAGACTCCGTAACCAGGTTCTCGTTGCTCGTGCAGTGACTGAGCACATCACTGATCCTAGACTCTTCACCCGACTGCTGACTGTACTCGTCTTCTTCTCTGCAAGTGTGGGGACAACAAATTCGATTAGCATACGCAAACCACACGACGTATGTCGCCAGACTACTCCAAGTACATGATAAAGGGGAACTGACAGGTCAAAATCTTTTTTTTTTTAGTATCCGAAACAATTAAAAACAATGACTGCACATTACCCTCAAAATTTGAAGCTTCGGAACTCGGCATTTGCGAAGTAAAGAAAACAATTTACAAAAGCCAAATTTGAAGTTCCCATGCGATCCGCGCCAGTGCAGCAACGCCAAAGATTGAGTCGTCCTGTAACTGGAGTTTCTCTCCCGCCTCAGAACCCTTCCAACTGGAAGTGTCGTGTTCGCCCACGTAACGCGATCAACTGCGCTTCTCCAAGCGAACCGCCTATCGCTGTGAGCAGACGACGCTTCACTTTCAAGTCTGAAGTTCTTTTAGGGCACTTTCAAGTCTGAAGTTCTTTTAGAGCCCTTTCAACGATCTCAAATTCTTTGTAGCAGAGGGAGGTCAAAGAGGATGTGCTGTGGACTTTTGTAAGTGATGTGAGGGGCCATGTAAAGCCGGCACTGCATGAAAGCCTGCCCCTGTGGAGTCACAACCGAAAGTATGCAGGCACAGGTTCCCGAAGAATGCGTTGAAGAAGGCGGCCTGGATAGCTGCACTTCTTGAAGGACTACTCAAAGGTTTCAAATCAAAGTTCTTTATTTGTCTCCAACATTTATTGATGAGGATTATGAGGTTAGCCCTAGCGCCTCTTAGAGCGTTGCGAATTCAAATATCTCAGTTGAGGCGCGGTGTCGTTCCGACGAACTTGCCGCAGCAGGTCAAATCACACGCACGTGGGAAGATATTTTTTTTGCATTGTGGTATTTTTTTGTGTCTATGACTACAACTTGCATCGTTCTAGACAACAAAAAAAAAGATGACCTCGGGGGTGCCCCTTTAAGGCTGGTTCACCCGCTTGCAACTGAGTGCTTTAAATCCTGGTGAGACCCCTTGCGACAAGAACACACACTTGCACCCTCCGTCGGGTAGGCACGGAACACGTCATTTCCACATACTTTTCTATTTTCTTCGCATACCATTGTTTCTTTCTTGGCTTGGAAACCTTTGAGGACGTTATAACAGATATAGGTGGTGCAGCATGTTCCCCAGATCTAGGAGAGGGAGCAACTCAAACCATGGAGAGCATTTGCAATTTAATAACGGATGCCTCCTGTAACGACTGGCTGCAATTGCGCGCTTTGCATCGTCGCGTGGTCAGGAGGAAAGCGGGTAGAAAGGCGAAGATGTTTGCAGACAATCAACGGTTTAGACTCCTCTTCGCAGCTTGTATTGCAAGTGCGGCCTGTAGCAGCCGCCCCCTTTCTTAAACCCAGGCTCTCCAGTGTTCTCTCGTCACAAGAGATCACGAGAACTCGAACGTAAGGAAACGCAAGTGTGTGAATGGGCATCGACAACCCTTCCGACGTGCCGACGCCCAAATTGACCCGCGGCGCTCACTCGATGACGGCCGCCCGGTGCACGTCGAGCTTCTTGGAGAGCTCGGCGATGACGCTGTGCAGCTCGGTGATGCGCTCCTCGTAGCGCTGCGCCTGCTGCTCCAGCCGCTCCTCCCGCTCCCGGGCCAGGTGCAGCTGCTCCAGCTGCGCCCTGCCCAGGCGCCGCTCCAGGGACTCCCGCTCCCGGCTCAGCTGCCGCTCCCGCTCCAACAGGGCACGCACCTCCCGCCTCAGCGAGGACAGCGCCCCGAGGTGGAGCTGCAAGGGGTTGGATGGCTCGGGCTAAGACGGTGAAACAGCTTCTGATGTGTATTTCTTTCATTAACTTATTTATTTGACATTCTATTCGTCCAAGTCAAGAGCATTAATAAGAGTGATAATTACAGTCACACTTTGAAGAGCAAGAAAAAGTTAAAACAGCAAACAATGCATGCGCAAAAATGCCGGTACACAAAATACAAACAATATAAACAATAATCGGCGTCCAAAGCGCAAAAAGAATATACAGTAGTAAACAAAAGTATTGGATGAAACACTTTTCGGCCATAACTTTGTTTCTATTGGATCAAATCTACTCATTTTTGGATATGATACGTGTTTATGCGCAGGTTACAATGCCACATAGGTTCTACTGTGATCAGAGCAATGTCGGCGCTCGATATATTCCAGGGTTATCGGTCCTTAATGCGAAAGCATTAACTGTCTCATGTAGCGAGCCGATGTCAGTTTAGAACCGCGCCAAACGGCTCTTAAATCCTTCTCGAAGTCAAGCCAGCTCCCAGCTATGAAACCACGCGCAAAGCTAGCCAACGGCACCTTTTACACTTCAGTCCCATTGGCTGGTGCGCGTCAACCAGGCTCCCATTCGCCGGACACGCAGTGCCATGAGGTGGCCGGTCGTTGAAGGAAAACAACATTCTGTCTCCCTTCCAACACGGTTTCAGAAAGGGGTTTTCCACCATAACTCAGCTTTTAACCACGGTCCACGACTTCGGCAACACGAAAACAATCTATGCATTCTTCCCGTGGTTGCCCAACCTATTTGCTTAGTGCATATTACTACCGTTAGTAAATGTCTGCTGTCATTTAAACCTACAATGAAACAACGGAAGTTCTATTCCGGCTTATATATAAATTGACGTGCTATTTCCAAACAAGCCTGCGTTTGCCCACACTAAGTATGGGCACTGCGCGAACGCAGAAACCAGATTCGCGTGAGGTGAAGCTTCTGCGCATGCGTCGTTACTCCAACAGCGCCACCGCAAAGGCATGACGTCAGAGCTGCATGTCAGTCTATACCTAGAACAGGAACTATATATACCAAGTTAGCTCCTCTATCCGGCCAAAACCGATGACATTGAACAAAAGGCAGATACAGCTGAGCAAACAAGAAATTCTTCTTTGCACGGCTACTGGGCCTAACCGCTTACAGCGGGTAGATAGTATAAATAAATGTTTGCTGTCGTTTAAGCCCATAATGATCCATCTGAAGTTCTATCAAAGCTTCTGTACCTAAAACAAACCATATGCATGTCCCACTAGCCCCTTCATCCTGCTAAAGCCAATAATTTTGGAAATAACGTAGCTGCTTCCAAGCAAACGAAAATTGCTCCCTCACGACGAGAAGCGTGGCTGCTTTTTATTTCTTTTACCCTGCAGAAGCACATACAAAAAGACCCACAATGTCAATTAAAATAAAAAGAAAAGGGGAATGTGACAAAAATGAATGCAAATGCAGCCAGTGCAGAAGTCAAAAAGGAACGAGATGTATATTCTCTAAGACTTCCAGCTGGTTTCCCCGAATGAGTAGCATACCCACCTTGTTGGCAAGTTCCAGGAGCTCTCCCGAGCTTCCTGGGACGCCAATCCCCGAGGCCTCCATCAGCTTTTGCAGGCTGTTGGGCTCGGGGCTCAGGTCTCTGCTACCAGAGTCAAACTCCCAGCTCTCGTGCCTTTCAAAAAGTGCCCCTGCAATTGGAAAGGGGTCATGAGTGATACTGGAGGAAACTGTCCCACTCCTCTCAAATGATACACTTTTTGTCTTTACTCATTAATAAGGAATGTATCGTACAAATGAAAGTGAATACAGCTGCAGTGCCAAGCCACTGAGGTTTTGGGCCCCAGTGCCTAGCCTCTGTAGTTTCGGGCCCATGGGGTTTTGGGCCTAGATGGAGACAAACATCCTCGTAACCATAACATGCTGGTGTCACGCGTCGCTCAAACATTCATGCACAATCTCGCAGTGCAACAAAAATAAATTCCTCGATGCATATAAACACTTAACAATTTGTAGCATGAATGTTACAGTATCATGCCCACCAGGTAGAAATGGATACTGATATCTAGCTACTTGTATACTAATTACGTTAGATGTCTGCTCGTTGGTAGGGTTGTCAGGCAACTGTGCCCTTAAAGGGACACTAACAGGGTATTTATGCTCGCCAAAGATTTTAGTTGTGTGTGACATATGAGAGCCCAACTACCCAGAACAGAATTTGAGGCTCAAAATTCGGTTTCTCTCCGCCCGAAAACTTCCGATCGAGAACTGGCCGGTTTCAGTCGCGCTCACTCTCTTTTCCGTGGTCACGGGCCGTTTTCTAAGGTTTCGACGCGACCACCAAATTAAATCAAAGTCATGGGTCATTGAAGGCACACAGTCAATATTAAAAAAAAAAAAAAATAAATAAAACCCATTTTTTGTGACTTCCAAAAATCTGCAAATATGTTGATTGAAAAAAAAAAGGTAGCATAGACAACCGGAAGCATTCTGTGCGTTCACTGCATAATTCTCAACATTGCGTCGTTCCGCATATCATGGGACTAACGGAACAGTGGCCTGTACTGTACTAGCGGATGGCAGCGGAAGACGGGCATGGGACCTCAACTTCAGAACTGTCGTTCACAATACCGGCGAACTCTGTCCTCCTTCGAAAGAGAAATTTCGGATTGATCAAAAGAATTGATATTCATCCCGTAAGACACCCCCAACCAGCAAGCCGATTGCACGAAAACATTGCTGAGCCGACGTCTTTTTTCGTGGCTGAAGACACTTTGCTCGCTGCAATAAACAAACCTAGGAATCTTTCAACATGTAACTGAAATGTCAATGACATAACACATTTTGCAGTGCTTCAGTTAAATTGTACCCGGTATAGAGAAATAAGCACCAAAAAGCACATATTAAAATTTATTTGAAAATGACCAGCTTAGTAGTAAATATCACAGCATTAGCTTGACTAGTTGTGTAATATAACAAAATGTAAGCGGCCTCCAACTGATGAAACACGTAACTACTGCAGTGCAATGCTAAATTGTACACAAGACAAAGGTGCATTACGACTAGCGGGTGCTTTTCTTTTTGCTTTTCAAAACTTTCAGCAAGGCTGCTGCAAGCCTCGCTTTGCCTTCGGCTAGTCATAAATGTCAACTTTCAATCTCTGCAAAGAGACATTGAGACACCCCACAAATGTACAGTGCTGTAGGCGTTGCCGAGCGATTCTGAAAAACCACTTTCCACCGTTTCCCCGACGTGCCAGATTTTCGTCAAAAGTAAGCAAACGTAAAACAATGAATCGCAAGCGTTTCGGCTGGTGCATCTGCCGTGCAATCATGTTCGCATGCACATGAGGGCAACTTCGGCAGGCTTGCAGTTGCACATGCTTCGTCGCGCGAGCGGAGATGATTGTTCGATCGAAACCGAAACCATGCCTCTCTGCTCTGTCGCCAAATGGTTCCCAAAATTTATGCAAAATGTAACTGTCGAGCACACGACAAAAAACAGTCCAGCGGCACGTGCCTGTCAGGCCGGCAAACAAGGTACAAGCTAAGCACATGCACAAAAAACAGAACCTGAGCGCATCGATGCAAGAAATTGCGAGCCAGTGTCAAAATGTTCTTGGAGCGCTTTGTGCAACGACTGAACTCGAGACAAACCAGAGGGCTGTGTGGGTTCAGCGTGCATAAACTGCCTTCTTTGTTTTAAACCACTCCTTTTCACCAACTTTCTTTTGCGGAAGGTTTTTCACATACCGGGGTCTCTCGAAAGAAAGCCTACCGATAGGCAACCTACAATGCTGGTTGGTTCGGCGCTATCTAGCGACTGAAGTAAAAAAAGTATTGGGTTTCCCTAATAGTAGCTGCTGCATTGTTCAAACGTGAGCCTTTACTCTAGTGGCGCCGCTTAGCCTAGTGTCTGAAGCAAGAAATACTGGGTACCCTAGGAAGCCATGATCGCGTAATATGCCAGTACAGCGGAAGCTACGGCCCTGGCAGGCCAATGGGAATGTGACTGCGTATCACCAAAGCGCGCCTCAACTCTGAAGAAGTATCAGGCTTTTCGCTGCGTCCTTCTCTAATATGTGTGCGTTGCGCTCGTATACGTCGTCGTCGCGCATTTCGAAGCCGTCGGCACGCAATGTGGAGCTTATCGTTCACCTTTTGCCAAGTTACAACGAGACGGGGTGTGACCGTGGGCTTTCAATCTGTCGGTGCCGCCTACCTGTTGCCGGCTGGCCATAGAAACCTAGGTAATCAATACTTCGACACAGCAAACTGAGTTAAAGAGGAATTCTTGTAGTAGCGTATGATTTAAACAAGAACAGGAATGTTGATGAACATGCAGCAGTCCTCACATTTCAGTTTAGAAAGCGACATATCTGCACCGACGTGGGGACGGCAACACCCGGCGTCGTTATTTTCAGGAGCGAGTACTTCAGCTCACGGGAGGCACTCACTTGATCGAATGATCGTTTTAGCGAACGCCCACGTTTTCATGAATGACACTTTAGAGAATAGTCGAACGCCGCCAAGCGGCGTTTTCGGGTGGGCCAAATGAGTTCACATTTTTGTAATGAGCCGCCGCAGACTGTTGCTGCGAAGCGGCGTAAAGCGGAGCGCGGCGGACGGGTTAACGCGCGCCCCCGTTATTCACTAAAACGTCGATTCGCTCCAATGTCGCTGTTCGCTAAAAAGTCATTTGCTCATGTGATATGGACTCAGCTCACAAAGTAACTCCCGCCACTCAAAAACGTGGTTTCGTTTCATAGCATGACGGCATGGCTGGCCTGATACACAGCACGCTACCGCCGGAGTGTCCACACACGCCTGCGCCTGTCGTCAAAAAGACGCGAGACGAGATCCACGAGACGATGAGAGGACGAGAGCGCGAAACGAGAGACGGCCGTTAAAAAACATCCAAGACCGGATGGACCATGAATAAAGGGTACTTTGTGTCGGGCGGCCGTTTGCGCCACCTAGCTCACGCATGTTCAATTACGGTACTCAGTTTTGTTTCGGTTTCGAAAGGCAACCAAAATTGGTCCTTTGGCGCAGGCTTGGCGCAGATAACCCATATTTTGGCAAAATGTAGCAGGATGTAGCAGGGCTAGCCCCTTGGCGCAGTTTGGCGCAATTGGCGCAGCAATCACATCACTGGTATTCCGACACCATAATAAATCGCCTGGAAAAAAGGAAAAAAAAAATTTGGGGGTGTCAGTGCTTCTTTAAGAGACACCAATATCATTGTTTTTTTGCATGCCCATCATTTTTGGAAGAAGGAAATGTAGTGATGTAATTGGCCTGGGGCATTTTGGAGCACCTTTAGAGCAGCTAGAAGCCCATGTTACAGCAGCAAAATACATTTTTGGAGCATAAGTACACATTTCATTTTTATCCCTACCACTGCAAATAGTATGACTCATGTGTTGACCGGTCCACCAGAAAACATTGTCTACTTTGCCTTCCCACTTTTGTGTAACCTTTTTTTTGCATCAGTTGGACGGCAGGTTTGATTCCCTCAAACACCTCAAACACAGACCTAGCTCATTAGTTGTGTGTAGAAGCACAAGGCATGACGACATCATGCTGAGTGATGAAGGACAGTATGAACTGCTGTGAATGGATGTTTTTGATACGGAGCCAAAAATTAACCAAATTAAGTTCCATGGAGATAATGTTACGACCAAATAATATTGAACACCCAAAATGATGTTCCATTGAAGTCCTAAAGGTTGCAATAAGACTGCAATTATTAATTCAAATAAAAACAAATCTTTTGTCATTTCATTATTAACAGCAATGATGTTATAAACATAGAACTTCATGATAACCAAAATCGATTTCCCCTTAGCACGCGGCCGCGCTGCAGGGAAGCAAGATACACAAAATTGTGATACCTACACAGCGGTTCTAGCTTCACTGCAGTGCACCAGTGTGCAGTGGGAAGCCCGCTCAACTAAGCTACCTAACCCACCAGAACACGAGATATATTGCACGACTTTCAAGTACTGTCAGTGTTTGACACAGATATCAAATAGAGCACTAGTACGTTATTATAAGGCAATAATCGAAAGTTCAGAAAATTCTGACAAGCCTATTGTAACAATCCGGTTGTGTAGAGGGTTCCTCATCGTTAATAAAGTGAAATTATGTTTTGGTGCAACCAGTGGCGTCACTAGGGTCAGCGGCACCCAGGCCAGTGGCCTCCGGTGACACCCAGCACGTGGCCGTCAACAGATGCTGCGCCTTCTGGAGGCCACTGGAAACTGGTAGCATAATTGCACGGTGGAGAGTAAGCGCAGTCAGGGTGTGCATCCTACTGACCTACTCCGATGGGTTTGACCCTCGCCCAGCAGCTTCAAGGCTGCGCCAATGGTGCACTAGAAGTTCAGTCACTGTTTGCATTTCATTCGAACCCGAAAGTACCATGTATCACATTGCCGGGAACCCTTGGCATTTCAATATATTTCCTGTTTTTGCAACTTCATTCTTTCTTTCTTCGCCTAAGAAAATTTTAGACGATGATGTTGATGACTATTTCTCATAGATGGTACACTCGATATCGCAAATACCGCAAAAACCTTCGCCCTAGTGAAAGATACTTCCAAGGTCACTTCATAGATGGGATGCATGCAAGAAGCCTCTGGAGGCGACATGAGGCCAGCAGAGGTGAAGCCAGAAGTGTGGAGGGACACGCCCCCAACGATGACCAAAACCAAGAAACGCTATTGGACGCTGGAGAGCTGACTCAACAGCTGTTTCGGTCACCCTCGAAGTCAGCTCTCCATTTCGTCCAATAGCATCTCTTGGTTTTGGTCATCGTTGGAGGCGTGTCCCTCCACGCTTCTGGCTTCACGTCTGGTCGCCTCATGTCACCTCCAGAAGCTTCCTACCTCCATGAGCATGCCAGTGTGTTCTCTCAA